TTTTCTAATTGGGATGTGGGGTTTCGTTTTTTTTTTAGCTTGAAGTTTTGTTAATTATCTTTAATAATTATATTAAAAATAATAGTAATATTTAATAATAATTTGTAATGTAATAAAAAAAAATAATAATAACGATAGCTTTAAAACATAAGATTTAACATGTCATGTGATTATAACTATATGGATAAATCTTTAATCAAAACGATTTCACTTGAAAAAAATAATATTATACACCAGCCAGAATTATAATTAATGCTGGCCAATCTGTCGAATCCTTAAACATTGACGCGTTAAAACAAGATGTTCTTTATTGAATATTATGCATCGAGAGAATTCTATATAGAGTGTATATTGTTATAGTGCGTTTATATCCCTTTATACATAAACCAGTCGATTGTTTGTTAGTTATTGGCTATTCAATCTTTTCCGTCCTCTTGAGCCTTCTTTAATTGTTCTTCTCTCAATACTTTGGCGAAAATTCCACTAAGAAATACAGGTTTACCACTATCATATGCAAATGAAATAAATATTAGAATTCGTAAAAATGAATATGTCAAAAAAAAAAAAAAAGGCGTGTTATATTCGTTAAAGCGAATGTAACTATATTTAAAATTATATGACAAAGCATATTGTAAAAGTTGAAAGTCTTACCCTTCGTAATTTTTTGCTTTCTTTGCCTGTAGCATTCGAGTACAAGGAGATAAAATGCTGTCCGTGGGAGAACTAAAACTAGTTTCATAAATATAATATTTTATTAAAATTTCATTAAATAATATAACTTTATTTAATTTTAAATTATTAAAAACTTACTTAAAAGACTTTTTTGGAAAGTAATTATTTGGAGTTGTTTTAGGTTTTTGAACGTGCATTTCTTGAATTTCCATTACATTCTGACATTCTTCCTCTTGATAATTCTTTACCGAACAAGATTCATTGTCTTTAGTGTCAACGGTAGTTTGATAAGATGCCATTGCTTTAAATTGGTTAAATGACTTTTCAATTGAATATAAAAAATGAATTGTTTTTC